TAGTGTATTCTTAATAAAACAAACTGCTCTAATGCAATGTTTGACTGTGATACCTTGAAGGTGTCGCTAAACGAAACATGAAACTACTTTATGTCAATCAAGGTTCAAACTTTTTTGACCAAAGCTCCTCATGTTTACTTCGATTTTTGCGTGAATGGGAATGCGATTTCAGAATTTAAGTGAGGCGGAAATTGGCCAAATAAATTTACGTGAATGCATTTTGCGAGGGGTATAGGGGACCCTGTTACACCTTAATACCTCAAAACATCTACAGGAGCATATTCATATAAGTATACAGGAGCTCACACGTAACTAATGCCCTACGTTCGTCCTTGTTACTTATATCTAGACGGTTTTGGATATTTTGTTGTATATAACTTATATCTTATTAACATTGGTATACATCCCTTTACATCATTGTATGGCACTCGCAGCATTCCACTTGCATATTGCAACGACTAGTTTTACTCTAAAAGGAGGGGGGTGGGAATCCGCGAAATCCACCCCCCTCCCTGTATCCGCCCTTGACTTGTTTGCATTTTATATTAATGATTTTGTTGTTGTTGTTGTTGTTGTTGTTGTTGTTGATATTAATGATGGTATAATGATATTTTTGCTTACAGATCACGATGACTGTAAGCCAAACCGTTGCCAGAACGATGCAACTTGTGTGGACAACCTGAACGGTTACTCTTGTACCTGTAAACCAGGATGGAATGGACAGAACTGTGAAACAGGTACTTACTTAACGGGCTTCATCAAATTTTTGCATCTGGTTACGAGATCTCTGTTGCTCAGGGTTAGCCTCACCTTGTTTAGAATATTCACGTTTTCCAACGAAGGTCAATGGAATTTCAAAGTGTTTGTATTGTACTTTACTTTACCGTTAGCATTTGTGGATATTTAGACACTGATACGAGGCTAACCCTGAGTAAATGAGTCTGTGAACAAGGAACACAGCGGTATTTTTTCGAAGTTGAAAAGGGTCTTTCACTATCACGTGATGGCAGCCATGACAGGAAGCAGGAACAATTGAATCTGGTCAAATCTGATTTACACGAGAAATAATTCAGTTTCCAGGGAGAAAAAGACTCTATTGCTGTGCCTCTTGTCATGGCTGCCATCACGTGATGTTCTATATTTAGTTTCCTTTTAGTATTCACATATTGATTGTATAGTTTTGCGAGGGCATTTGTTTAGATTGGATTTTTTTTTCAAGATATCAATGAATGTAGCTCACGTCCATGCCAGAATGGCGGTGTCTGTAGCGACAAGATCAATGGTTACGAGTGCGCATGCGCACCAGGATACACGGGAAAGAACTGCGACAATGGTAAGTGGCAATTGCTGGTTGTTTTCATATCCACCATGTTGGTTGATTTCTTTCATTGTCATCCGACATGGTGGCCATCAAAGTTTTGGCTGAGTATTGGTAGTATATCTCCTGGACTAGTGCGGTACCGTATGCATGCCTTGATTGAGGGATATTTTTCTCGCACAATGTGATTGGCCTAACATTGCGTGACCTTGGCGTGACCGTATCCGCGCCGTGTTCAGGCCGTGTTTCGGGCATTTGACTGGATAACGAGTAAATTCTTGTCCAATGTGATTGGTCTGGCCATGTTCGTGCCGTGACAGTGGCGTGACCATGTTCGTGCCGTGACCTTGGCGTGACCATGTTCGTGCCGTGACCTTGGCGTGACCATGTTCGTGCCGTGACCTTAGCGTGACCGTATTCGTGTCGTGAGTTTTTCACAGGCATATGAAAACTGTTCTAATCTCTGCTTGTTCATTTGCAGATAAAGACGAGTGTGATTCAAATCCTTGTCTGAATGGCGCAGTATGCCATGATCTCGTTAATGGATACAGCTGCTCATGCGCACCAGGATACGAGGGAGTCAACTGTCAAACAGGTTTGACTTAGTGATAATTGATTCTTAAAACTAATGGAACTTGCCGTTACTATAGATACGACTCGACTTGACAACTCGACTTGACTTGACAACCGTTACCATAGTAACAATGTAAAACAGGTTTGACTGTATAGTCGTTATTATAGAAACACTGAAAAACAGGTTTGACTAGATAGTCATTACCATGGAAAGACTGTAATACCAGTTTGACTAGATGGTCATTACCATGGAAAGACTGTAATACCAGTTTGACTAGATGGTCATTACCAT